TCATTTTTACACCACTGGTTAGAGCATAAATTGGGGCTTTTAGGACGTAAAGGTTTCCAGGACGAAGTTGGACCTTCCCTCATCCACTCTTCTAGATAATTTCGAAACTGTGAAAGCTTCACTCTTTTGGTGATGTAATATTCGAAACTTTCCACCCGTTGAACACAGCGATTGCACAAACGCATATCAGAAGTGAATCTCGGACTGCACCATTCTTCCATTTAACCAGTTAGATGAAATAATCAGAGCATTGTCTTTTTTCAGGCGGGCACAGCACGTTCTTCGGTTTGCTGAACACGTTCGTTCACATCGTGATGTATTTCTACTACTTCCTCACTGCCCTCGGCCCGCAAGTACAAAAGTACCTTTGGTGGAAAAAGTACCTCACTTCTTTCCAAATGGTGAGTCACTTCCCTGCCCCGACGGCTCAAAGTCGCCAACCAAAGTGTTAATTTCAGGTGCAATTCGTGGCGATTATGCTGCATGCATTCCAGCTGCTGTTCATTGACTGCAACTATCCGAGAGTCTTCGCCTGGTGGATCGGATCGCACGCTGTTCTCTTCTTCTTCCTCTTCAAGGACTTCTACCAAAAATCCTACAAGAACGCGAGGAACGCTTCGAGAGCCAAGAGGGAAAAAATCGAGAGCAGCCAGGCGCTTCATCAAAATGGTCTTTCCAAGCAAAATGGGGCTGTGAACGGAGTCCTGAAGGCAAATGGTGTTGTTAAAGTTGCCAGTGATTACTATGTTAACGGTGTCGACGGATCAACGGAGTTGCATCAACGGTTAAAACAGCAATGACCGGTTGGTAGGATTATTTAGTGATTGAAAACTGTTTTAAATTAGTCAGTCGAAGTTAGGGAATCCACATTTTATTAGCACTTGGTGCACCAATGGAGCCTTTTCTGCTGAATTTAAGTCGCCCAGCTCGTCCCCCCCCCNCCCGTAGACTGAACCCTTTTGGATTGATTTGCCAAGACAGAAAAGAAACAAAAATTGAAGAGAAATAAAGCAAGCCTTTAGGAAATACAGCACTTTCGGAAATTCTTTACACTACCGTGTGCTGTGGCACGAGCACATGCTCGCACGCACGGTACGCGCAGCCGAAAATCACATACTGCTCAGCCATGTTGCCGAACTGCCACCAAAGTAGAAAATCTCAGTGGAAACACAATACTAATTCATTCAAGGTTGAAAACTTAGCAGAATTACGTCCGTACAGGAAATAGCAGACGACACTGACGAGCTCATATGTGCTTTGATTGCGTTGATGATTGTGCGCTTAAAAGTATAATAAATTATTTGTTTACATAAAAGGGTTAAGGAAGTGGTAATGTAGTACTGGCAACTACGCGAAGAGCTGAACCATCATGGCGACAGTTTTGTTTTGGAAATTGGTGAATCTCAAAAAGTAGAGGAAAAATGTTGTTTGTTACGAGATTTTCTATAAGGTGAGCATCGTACTACCAGGCTGTTGTGTAAAGAATAACCGCACTTTCATCTAAATAGTTCCCTGTGCCATCTAAAGTCGCCCACAAAAATTGACTCATCCTTCAAAAAATCAAAAAGTGTTTTTCACACGAATGTCTATTTACTGAACGGGGCTGAGTGCGCTGTTGCCGTGTGCATAGTAATATTTGACGTCATTCTGTCAAGCATTTACCCATGTTTCCTATAGATGTGAATCTAATTTTTTTTACTATTCTGAAGGAATAATGTTTTAAGTACACAGGTGCTACAAGCAACAAATCATGAAGGGTTTGCTCTATTTCTCCATGTAAAGCGGAATTAATTGATTGAATAAACGCTGTTGAGCGGAACGCCATTGGATTCCCGATCTCCTTTAAATAAACGGTTGCATGGAAAATAATCTAGTCTGATAATACTTAATTACATAGATTTCTCGACAGCTATTATGAAACCCTTAAATTTTTATTGATTTTCCTGACTGCGTGTAATTGTTATTACAATTTTTTCCTCGGCTCCAGTCACAGTGTGAAATATTTTTTTTGTATATGTTTTATTTAGGTTCAAAGACCTAAATGAATATAATGTTTCCCAATTATAGGTTTGAATGAATTTTAAAATCTGATGATGTCGATGAAATAAACCATATACAAAAAAAATGTTTCACACTGTGACTGGAGCCGAGGAAAGAAAATAATATAGAAACCCTTAAAGGTGTAGGTATCATAAACGGCGAATTTTTGGAAAGATCTTGCTCAATTTTTATATTCATTATACAAGCAATATTAAATATTGTTATCGATGAATAGTTTTGTATATTATCAAATATTCATAGGAATATGTAATTGTAGATAAATTCTATTTAAATTACTTAACTAGAATTAGGTGAGATACAGATAAAAAAATTGCTGGTATGGCGCCCTCCAAAAACTGTTATATTGGTTGGCCACAGTTTCTTGTACATATTAGACTTGCTAAGTGTTATTCGGAATATTAACAGAGAAATTTTGATGCCTCAAACGAGGAAATCTGCCAATCATTCCAGTTGTTGATTTATTTTGATGTATGTTGTTTATATATGTATTTTGTACATACCCGAAAAAGAGTGTATACAAATTCAACTTCAATGAAGAACTTTTCAATGCAAATGCAATAAGAAAGCTTGCAAATAGCCCTAACAAGTGTTGGTGCCAGTTTTACATCAAGTAGTTTAAGTTAGCTGTGGGTGGAAATAAAGATTAAGTTGTTACAAAACGGGCGTTTTTAGTCGATAAACTAGGCATAGGAACAAACACTAAAACCTGTAATGGAGTCAAAGCAGCGCGAGAATCTAACGAAATTATATTCTTACATTTTTAACTATTTTTAATAATTAAAATGCGATTTACATAAAAGATGTGAGTTTTATTCTCGACCTATTTTAATCTACCCAAATATATTACATAGCGGTTTAATACATCGCATCATCACATAAATGCCTTTTTACTCCAATTCTCCAAAATACAATACACTAATCAATAAATAAACGCCAGACTTACGCTTTACTCTTACAGTAAAAAAATGCGCATGCTGATCCTCTAATGTTTTCCATATCCCCTGTGTACCTCATTGTTCGTTCGTCGTTGAATTCGACGAAAGTTGAATCGTCCAAGACGCCGTGAGCGAAATAATGGCCATGATCCATGGTTCCTCGGTGCTCCGCAATGGAGTAAAGAGTATAGCGGTAGTTTCCAAACGTGAAGTTAAAGTCGAAATCCACGCAAGCATTATTTTTGCGAGACTCTTGATACTCGTCCTGATAATACCGCTTTAGCACCAACACGAGGATCTCTGGAGCGACTACCACTTGCTTTTTGTTAATCACCCCTAAGTTCTGGCATTTTGAGCATTTGTAGTCGAGAATTTGATTGTCCTCCAGATATTCATCGATCAGATTCCCCAGTTTCACCGACTTTAAGCCTGGGCGGTACGGAACGGGCAACATCAGCGTGTTATCTGTTTCATACGAATCGGCCTTGTTGTGGCAAGTCTGGCATATCTTTGTACATTTAAACTGATGGTAGAACAAGTCGACCCATAAAGAAGTCCGTCCTTGCAGCTGGCTATACCAAGCCTTCTCTCTTTCGATCATCACACTCTTCTTTGTAATGTCATAGGAGCAGTCATCGTTCAAGTAATTAAATAGGAAGAGAAAAAACTCCATACAGTCCTCGTGGTTGCCCTTCTTATATAGGGAATCCAACTTGCATATCGTATCGTAAAACGCGCTGGGTTTATAAACCTTTTTGTTCGTCTCGGTGCCTTCGCACAGCACCCGAATCACTGAGGCAAACTCATTGATTACCTGGACGGGCCGCCGAGTGATAAATTTGGTGTAGTTGGAATGGACAAAACTTCTTATCACCGGAATGCACTTTAAACACTGCAAAATTGTGTTCATGTAGCAGGTGTTTTTGATGTTGACTAAACCGCACCAACCGCTAAACACAAATTCAATCTGCAAGAAATCACCAATTAGTCTAAGGAGGACAGTCAAAGGGGGTATTTTTACCTTTTTCGGCTTGGTCTCCCTCCTAATCGGGGGTGGGTATCGCTTCGCTTCCATCCACACCTTATCATCATCGCTGTCCCCAATAAAACGTTCCCTGTTATCGCTTTGAATCCTGTTCTTATTGTTCCTGGCTTCCAGCAGCAGCTTCCTGCGATGGGCCTCGATTTTGTTTTTGATATTGTCCATTGGCTCCTCTAGAAAGTTGTCGAGTTTCTTTTCCGTACTGGCTCCTCCTCCTTTCGGGGCACCGACACTCGTTTCTGAGTCTAATGAAGTTGTGCTGGGGGGCTGCTCAGCTGCCATATCTTCATCCGATTGAGTTTCGATACTACTGGAATCCTCCAGTTCCTCTATGGTAAATTGCTTGAGTGGCATGAGAGACACGTTCTGGTCCGGTTCCGGATATGTTATGCTGTCCAGCTCCAGCAGTTCATCAATATCCTCGTTGTTTCTTATGAAGTTCACGTGGACGTTGGTGACGGAGCCGGGGTAACTATCCAAGAAGTCCTTGAAGCCGCCATTTAGGATCACTGGGTGCTGCTTGTAAGTGCGAAGACAGTCCCATTCCACAACGGAGTCGATGAGATATTTCATTTTAGCACAAGTGATGTTATCGGTGCTGGAATTCCAATCGACAAACACCAAGGCATCGAATCGGTCCCTTTTATCCCAAATCTTCTGCGTGTCGTCCAGCAGTTTCTTTCCCAGTGCATTGGCTGAAAGACCCGCCACTATTATCTCATCAGACACATTGATGATATTCTCGAACTTGACTTTGGACTGCGAATATTCATCTCCTGGTCGGATGTCCACTATTAAAATGTTCAGATTGTCCTGAATCGCTTGGAATAGTTCTTTAACAGATATAAACTCGTTGGGAAACAGTTGGGGTTTCACTTCAGGGGACGAGGCCACTCTTGGGCTTGTTTCCAGTGTTTTATGGATGGCACGTTTGAGTTGACGCGCCTGCTGCGCTTCGTACCGCCGGCCCAGTACGGTTTGCAACTCATCAATCTTATTGTTAACTTTATTAACCTCGCTTGCGTAGATGAGTTTATAGTATTTGGCGTCGCCAATCTTACACAGTGTTTCAATGCTGCGAAGATACCGCATGCAGTAGATGTAGCATTTTTCTTGGTCCAAGATCGCGCGATTGATTTCACGATATAAGGATTTAATAGCTTTCTCTAATGCCTTGGAGTTGTTGCCCAACTTCTTAGGGTATGCGATATCTTTCAAATCCTCTAGATTAGTGGCGATGTGCAGCTCGGCCACGTGTTGCATGGTGAAACTGTTTTCGTGCCCCTGAAACAATAACGTACTGAGAAAACTGGAAAAAGTTGTACATTTTTTTATATTGAGCCGGATAGGAATCAGCGTGGCCAAATTCATGGGATTACTGAAACGTTCAGTTCGATGGGGGCGGTTTTAGATACTACTGGAAACATAAATCAGTGGTTACACACTGCTACAATCATTGTCTGATATGATAAAGTATTATTTTGCTTTAGTAGTGTATTAGTAGACAAAAATGTTATTACCTGCTTTGCAATCGATAACCTGTATCAATTAGGAGGTCAATCTCCCACCAATTAATAGGATTTACATGCAAATCACAGCATACACTATTTAAAATGTTTACTAACTCTACATGATAGCTTGTGAAAACATTCAAGCCAATGGAATGCAGGGTTATGTTCTGTTTGGGAGTTTGGGGAAGGGAGCCAACAAACTAGCCTAAAAAATAAGTTAGTAAGACAGGGACAAAAGATGGATTGGACGTGCAAAATAATAATTGATTTTATTCACTTTACATTGAATCATGATTACTACTGACACAATAAAACCTATGATTGTATTTCTTGGTCGGTGACTAGTTCAACTATTTGCGTCAATAAGAAAAGAACTGAAATCGAACAGCATAGCAATAGAATGAGTCACCCAAAGGGCCAGCGAGCAAACGATTATATCATTATGTGAGCCCGATGCGTTTTTTATGTGATAAACACCTTAGATTCGCATGAGTTTTATTGCAAAGCTGAAATAGTTCAGTCTATTATGGGTAAGGGACTAAGTCGGTCGTCGGTTACTTGTTCATAAACGGGATAAAAGTAGGGATTTTCCAAATTTAAAAATTTAAACAAATTATTTTTAGATTCAATATATATATCTATAGATAAGTTCTAAGTAATTTTACTTCTAATTGTATTTTCAGTTTTGAAGAAAACAAAAATTTTTGAGGCGAAATACCCAAAAAGAAGTTTGTAAAAAAATATATATCTATACTATAATTGCTTTGTCTGTCCTTTTTCATCTCATAACTTTAAAGTCTGAAAGAAAATTGAATATGGCGCCAAAATTAAAGCTTGGTCGCTCAGGTTAGTGGTGGATAGTGGGTGTTTATATCGCAACCAAGCGGAGTTCAGTGCTCAGAGCTGTGACGTCATAGTACTCAATTTATCCCTTAGAAAATCACGAGCTCCACTAAACTAGCAGGATTTCAAGAAAATCTAGTTCCTGATCGCTTTTATATGGTAATTTTATTAAATACCCGCTAAATGCCGGCGAATTACAAATCGCAGCTTTCAGAGCCCAACCGAAAACCCTGGTGAACTGTCTACATCAACCAGCCTCCGGCAATTCGTCAAATCGTCAAATCACCGTCAAATTTTCTAGGTTATTCAAAGTCATTTTTGTTTTATTTATGATTTATGCTTGAATTTATGCTCAATTTAATTTCAATTAACGTTGACGCCAATCACAACAACATGTGCCATCAAAAGCATAAATCAACCAAATTGTCAATGCCGATAATTGAGCGCATTGATACCGCCGTGCATTAGGCTAGAGCGCACCTCACTTTTTTACGACCAAAAGTGAAATTGTGAGCTTTAATTGTTAATTGAAAGGTGAAATCCCGTCGATTCCACTTTCGAGTAGCCTGACGTAATATTACTTAATTGCCTTGTGCTCGAATAGTGGAATCACACAGCCGCTCTATAGCACAGTTGAATACATGAATTCATAATCAGTGAACAAAGTTTGGACTATTAGTGAATGCCTAGTCACGCTGCATTAATTACACCGTTCGACACATCGGGATAATGTGCTGATCATGGCCCCAAATTATAGTAAGATTTTGACCAAAAACAATGCTATTGCTGGGGCTGGCATAGGGGCATTGGCTATCACCTGGACCTTGTTAAGCCGACGACAACAGAATAAGCTGCAACTTCAAAGGTAATGCTGTTGTTTGAACCTGATAGTGTCTTTCCCCGCCATAGATTGATTGCCATACTTTAATTGTGATTGCAGGAAGACTGTGAAAAAACAGGTCGAGGAGGAGCTGAAGTACTTGATAGCCGAGAAACCGGAGGCCAAAGTCAAGGTGCAAGTGGATAGGAAGCTGTTTGTGCAGTTGTGCCAGTTGTTTAAGATTGTGGTGCCAGGATGGACCACTCCAGAAAGCGGCATATTTTGCCTGATAGCAGTCAGTCTGGTTGCCCGCTCCATTTGCGATCTATGGATGATCAATCATGGAACGAAAATCGAAAGGTTGGTTCATGCCGGGGATAAAAGGAGTTCCTTTTATCCTTGAACAGTGTGCGGCTTTTTGCTAGACTGGATAAAAACCGCCAGCGATAAGGATTATGTTTATTGCTCAATCGTGCATTATTTTCATTCGGAACTTAAGGGATTAGCTGGTGTTTAACGGAGTATTTTCTTTTATTTAAAATGAGGATTCAATTTACTTCAATTATCCTTTTTTCATTGCTTCATCATCCGAAGAATATTCCAGATATCTATTTTGAGTAATGTATTGGGAAAGTCACAATATTACATTAAAGACTCTTGGTGTTGTTGTGATTTTATAAAACAACAAAAAATAGCAAAGAATCATCGGATAATATCACTGGATGTTGTATCATTATATACAAATATACCAATAGATTACTCAGTAAGCTGTATAAAAAATAAATGGGCAGAGATAAAAGAACATACAAAATTACCCGAAAAAGAATTTATTGAGGCGGTAGAATTGTGCTTAAAATCCACATATTTCC